TGCTTGCTCTCTCTCTTTCTCTCTCAATGTGGTCTCTCTTTTATTTGTTTTTGGACTTTTTTTTTTATGGTCGGTAAAAAATAGTGTGCCCTATTTTGACTTAGGGACTTATGCATCCCATACCCTTGGACAAGGTAGAGGCTCTAAATAATCAAAGTAAGATGTACTTTCAAATAGGACCGAAAGAAGTTGTTTCAGTTTTTATGATGACCAGAAAATTTATTTTCATATTTAATTTTAAAATTTAGATTAAAAAATAGTATAGATTGAGCAAATCTATGAATACTTAAAAATTTTGAAAATTGACGATCTAGAAAATATATTGCAAGATGCACTATTTATAAGATTTGAAATCTATTTTTCTCATGTCCATAAATCTTGAGCTCGAGATGATCGAATTGAACGTTTTTCAGCATTGGAACAATATCTTCTTGTAAATTTTTGATGTGTGCCTTAATTTAATTGTTTAGACTTTAGAGCATCACCCTTACATAAATTTATATAAAATTTTCCTACCCTAAACTAGAAATAACGAAAAGGTTTAATTAATAGGGAAAAGTTTATATAGTGTCGAGGCTCCAAACAATCAAATTAGAGCCTATCTCAAAAAAGAAGAGGTTATTTTGATGTTCAAATATCTTCAAATTGTTTATCTCAACGTCAAAATGTATGGACATGAGAAAAAATGGATTTCAAGTTTTGGAAATAACATATTTTGTAATCTACACTACTTTTGAAGCTTTAAACTTTATAAATAAAGATGAAAATATATTTTAAGTCTATCACAAAGATTTCTAATATTGAAACTACATTTCTCTACACTATTTGAAAGTAGGCTCTAATTTGACTGTTTAGAACCTAGGCTCTATACAAACCACACCCTCAATATAGCTCGAAAATTAAGAAAAATACAAAGAAAGCCAAGCAACAAGCCGTTTTAGCAAGGAAGTCAAGTCAGCCGGATCTGTACGGCAAGCACAATACTTTTAGAACCTTCATATTCCTTCCCAACCTTTAATTATTATTATTTCATTTTGATATTCAATACAAGTACATTAATAGATAAGGTAATTAATCATTCATATAAATTATTAAATCATTTAGGAAAAGTATATAAGAAGACCGTAAAAAAGCTAAAATTACTCTATACTGATATGATTTCGACTGCCCTCAGAGTTTAAAAAACACTTCCCTTTGATTGGGGTAGAGAAATGAAATGGCCTACCCTAGCCACCCCATTTTCATGGGGCATGATCATACATTTGTGTCCTTAGGTCTTGTACAATTATTTATAAAAAGAATATACAATAAGGTTATTCATTTTTTATATAAGGGGGGTTATAATTACTTTTAGCTGTTAGATGTATGGGCAGTTAGAAGTGTATCATTCACTGTAGTCAAAGTCTTGCGGTAAATTTTTCAAAGTTTGTCACAACTCCAAAATGTTAAATTTTCACATCTGATGATTAAAAATTATTATGACCTTCTTGTACCAAATAAATGATGTTAAGAAAAAGATTGAAAATCACCCCAAACCCAACCTTAAGAAAATGGCTATTAAAGTATGAGTACTTTTTAGCATTTTCCTTGGTTGACAATTCGTAACCTTTGATACAAGGAAACACAAAAAGAATACAAATAATCTCAATATTATATGAAAAAAATTCATACACTCTCACAAATAGTGCATAAATATGGTGGCAAAACAAAAAGAGCGATAAAAAAAAGAAAGAAGAAGATATATATTATAGATATGGTTTGTATTAGGCCAAGGCCCTAAATGAGCAAAGTAAGGCGCACATTCAAAAAGTATTGAAAGATTTTTTTTTTAAAACTGGAAATCTTTGTGATGGTCTGAAAATTAATTTTCATTTCTAATTATAAAATTTAAAGCTTAAAAAAACAATGTATATCGAGCATATCTATCAAATATTTGAAAAATCTTAAAAATTGATGGTATAAAATGTACATTACAGGATGCATTATTTCCAAGACTTGAAATCTATTTTTTCATATGTCCATACATCTTGAGGTTGAGATGATCAATTTGTGGATTTTTAAGCATCGAAACAACATCTTCTAGTGAATGTTTGAGGTGCGCCTTAATTTGATTGCTTAGGGCCTCGCCCTTATATAAACTTTTCCCATATATTATATGGATAATTGCATTCTTCATTTTCTAGGGTAGTTGGCTACTTCAAGTTTAATTGTGTCATGGTTAATAATATTATATCTCACTTTTTTGCCAAAAGTTTGTTTGCTCCCTCGGGAGCAAGCCGTCCAGTCACCCCGTTAGGTAAACCCAATGTGGGAGTACTATTAGGGACATCAAATTTTTGAGAATCTAAGCTCCTAACCTCAACCTTGTAAATAAAAAAAATCATTCAAATGTACTCTATATTTGCCTGGAAAAGAAGTATTATGAAATTAAAAAGAAAATAGCATTATGAAATTAAAAGGTTAGATTTAAACTGAACAGTTAGATCTAAGTATTTTTAAAAAATGCCCATCCGATGAATCAAAAGCCAACCTATTATCTGATATGGAAAAAATTGTCCTGAGTAGCTCTTTTGTTTGAGGGAGCAAGTTAATAATGTGACCCGCAAGAATACTGGGCTCTACTTTTAAATTTGTCTTGCTCCATTGTCCAAAGGAAGCTCACAACGACCTTTTAAGGGCTTCCCCCAAAATTGCCAAAAAAACGATCAAGGCACATGCATGTCAAGGGAGAGCAAAAGGGAGAGAGACTTATGTTGCACTATTACTAATGTCTAAGAGAAAGAGAAGATAGAAAGCAATGCATTACTAATGTAGAGAGAGAGAAGATAGAAAGCAATGCATGTATATACACATGAGGTATGTTGCACTCTATTGAGAGGGGGAGAGAGAGAGACTTGTGTTGTACTCTATTGCTAATGTAGAGAGAGAAGATACAAAGCAAGTGTAGAGAGAGTAAGACACAAAGCAAGTGCATATGTACATTCGTGAGGTAAGAGTAAAACACTTTCAAACTACTCGTTAGATTAAAAAGGGCCATAATATGGTGTTGGTCTGGCCTACGTAAGTCTTGGGAGGGGTGAGCTGGAGACGGTCCTATAATCTTGGCTTTTTATACATAAAGTGACCACTTACAGGACTCGAACCTGCGCTGTTTACTATTTTCAAAAAATAAGATAGGATTTGAGTTTCTATATGCTTAGATCTAACCATCTAAATTGAACCAAAAACTGAATCTTTCGACATTACTTTTAAGTGAACGGGCTTCATAAAATTGCAGTGTTTATTGTGAAGTTTTTGGGGGGTCTATTGCATTTACGACCATTAACTAGAGTAGAATCTTATTGGGTGAGAGATTTCAATTAGAGTAGACCTCTATTATTAGATAGAATATAGATTTCAAAATGGGCAGTTGTAAGAGTATTATTGATTAAACATAAAATTTCAAAAGAATAATTCTCTAACTTCGTTACTCATCCCAAGTCATCCAATTTGACATCTAATGAGTGGAAGCAGTTGTGTCCTCCTTATACAAAAAGTAAATGGGTCTCTTTGTAGACACCAAAATTTGGGAGTCTCATACTCTATTAAACTCGCACCTATAAAAAATATAAAAAAGCACTCTCAATAAAATAAAATGACTAAAATACCCCTAAAAGTTTCAAGGGTATTTGGTTATTGTATTTTGTCAAAAATATTTTTTTAATATTTTATTTAGGTGCGTCCCATTGAGATGATGCAATGTACAAATGTTCATGTTCATATAGTTACCAGGAAAAAAATTAAAAATAAAATACTCTGAGGCGTCTGCTCTAATACTTTGAGCCATCAGATCTAGATTGAATGGTTAACGACATCAGTTCTAGATTAAATGGTTAGTGGCTCACTAGATCTAAATTAGATGTCTGGATGAAGGGGGTCATAGAAACCTTTCCCTAGAGAATATAGATTAAGAGATAACATTCTAGAGACCACACTTTGGACAAATTAGGGTTTTAGGAGATTCTTGATAAATAAATTGGATATAGATATATGATTTGTGATTTTAAAGATGAGACACAATATGTAGTGAGGTTTATAAAAAGATATTTTAGACATGGATAAGATAACCACATGACATAAAGAGATAGAAATGAGAAAACATACGGTATTAAATATGGGGAGAGAGAGTTGAGATGTGAGAAGATAAAAATTAAAAGAGAGAGAAAACTCCCAAAATTTTAAGATTTGCTATAATTTTCAAATAGTCTTCTTTATTGATCTTCAATTTATATAAAAATAAATACACTTTTGGCTTACTTGATTAATTCTAAGATATTCATTTTTATAATTGAGTAAAATTTAATCTTCCTATTTTTTTAATCATGCCCTTAGATAAGAGTGATGTTTAAAATCTATGAGAGAATGCTTGGTCTAAATTCAACATTCCATCACCTTCTTCTACCAAAGGTAAAGAGTTAATCAAATCCCAAGATTTTAGAGGTGTTTCCTATGTCATCCATTCATATAAATGAACCTCTTTGTTATGGTAAAAAAAAAACAAAAAATATAAATGGACCTCTTTGTCAAAAAGAAACACGCACGGACACACACAATTTATAAATTTAATCAAATCCTATTATCATTAAGAACAACACTTTCCAAGATTTAGAGGTGTTTCACATGTCATCCATTAACCTGAATGAACCTTTTTGTTATTGTAAAAAAAAAAACAATAATGAATCTTTTTGTCAAAAAAAAAACAACACACACACACACCATTGAACCATTAATAGGAAATAATAGAAAGGTATGAGCAATTTCTCATTGAATAATTTCACCATGTCCATGAACAAAATAGTCCACTACTTCAACAATCTAGTAATATTTGGAAAAAAGGATGCGGTTATGGTGGTAGCACCTCCACACCCAAGTCACCACACACTTCAAAAGGTTCACTCTTAAACTATTTGAAAAAATGGGTAGGGGTATGTCTTTGTCACTTAATTATCCAAAAAAGAAAACAATCTAGTAATATTTTTAAGCCACAATCAGACCAGTGACACCAACCAAGAAAAAAAAAAGTAAAATAGAAATAAAAATCTATAAACAACTTGGTGGTGTGACTACACCAGTTGCTTTCCCATTAGCATTCGTGCAAGAGGCCTGGGCCTTTTTTCCTTTGTAAGTAAGATCCACATCTTGCAATTCAATGTTATTGCATGGATTGCTTGCGTTGCAATTAAAGTTAATGGCCACCTTAGTTGTAGAACTTCCGGTAATGTTTTTGTACATCACATCACTTATCTTTATGCCGGATTTCTGCACGATAGTTACAAATTCTGTTCAGTGTGTAGGGTTTAGGATTCAGGTTTTTATTTAGTAAACTAGGTTTTAGAGTTTTTCTTTTAAAAGAATAATAATAATAAAAGATTACTATGACCTAAAGTACAACAATAAGCACATTTACGTTGCGCTATAGGCATGATGAAAAAAAACTAATAATAAAAGACTACCATGGCCTAAAAGTGCAACAATAAGCACATTTAGGTTAAGCTATTGGCTCAAACTCAGATTTATAATAGCAATTAGGATTTCCACAGATTTATAATAGCAAATAGGATTTCCACTTAGGGTCTTCTAACAAATTCAAGCTTATGCAGTGTTTGAAAATCGAACCGAACCAACCTCAGAAGGGCCGGTTCCAAGTAAGTGGTGAACCGGTCAGTGGGCAAAAAAGTATTAAAAAAAAAAGAAATAAAAAAAATCTAAAAAATATGGAAATTATATTTAAAGCATGACTAAACAAAACACATCCAAATGAAGTGGAAAATTAGTGAGAAAAATGAATTTTAAAAAATCGATTTGTGCCTAGGGTATTTTTGAAATGTTTAAAAAAGAGGGAAAAATGTAAAATAAGAACTTATGGTCAAAATGTTTTCTAGTCTTTGCCAAAATGATGAAAAAAAAAAAATTTCAATAATACATTACAAACAAATCCTTTATAATGTGGGATTTTATATAAGTTTTTTAAAATATCATGCCGGATCACCAATACCGGCCAAAATTGGAACCAGACGAGTATACAAACACTGGGCTTGGGCTTATGGGCTAAAAGGTTATTGTTTTTTTTTTAAATTTAATTTAATTTAATTTAATTTTATTTTGAGAATTGGGATTTGGGAGGTTTTTTTTGACTGAGAATTGGGATTTGGGGTTTTTATTGGTGAGATGAAAATAGGTTTTCTAAGTGGGTTGCACCAATTCGAATCAACTTGTCGGGTCAGTCGACCTAACCCTAATCCAAGTCTAAAACCTGCACACATACACAAACACGTGTGCACATACACATCTAGTCTAGGTTTGGGTAATCCTAGACCCCATCGAGTTCGCTCTGATTGCAGCCTTGGATCTTGTCGGGTCAGTCGACCTAACCCTAATCCAAGTCTAAAACCTGCACACATATACAAGCACGTATGGACACACATCTAGTCTAGGTTTGGGTCAATCCTAGACCCTATCGAGTTCGATCTGATTGCAGCCCTAGATAAAAGGAAATTTGCATACTCGAGTTCTCAAAATTGATAAAAAGCACTTAAAATTGATAAAAAGCACTTTTAAAATATTTGTCATACCTGATTTGGACAATGTCCATGTGGGCAGTATTTTTGGTCGATGATGATGGGGTTCTCCACATTGTTCATGACCACTCCATCATATACTATATTTTTCACAAAACCATTACTCTTTCGTGCAAAAGACTTTATCCTCAACCCATTTGTTGTCCCATGAAACACTACATTTTTCACTGTCACATTCTGCACGCCTGGTTCATCCAAACTATGTGCAAGGCTCCCAATGCTGCAATTTTCCAAATGTTTACATTTTAATATGAATAAAAACATATATTGTGTTATATAGTGCAAAAAAAAACATTACAATACATGTATATGTGCGTAATGACATAATCACAATATTTTTACATACATCATGCAAAAACACAAAGTTTTGTTCAAAAAGATAAAACATATATGTATGTATACTTATTTATGGGAGAGTACTCAATACGAGTGTTTGCCTTTGGTACAAAAAAGGCCATAGCCTATATCATTAATTGCACTCAAAGTCGAAAAGGAAAAACTCTCTCAGCCACCCAACCCAATTGTATATCTGACAGATAGGGATGATTGTAACACTTTTGCACCAAAGGAAAATATCTTAATGTATTATAATAACTTTATTTATATATTATAAAAATTTTATTTATTTATATATTTATTATGAAAATTTACTTATTTATATATTATAAAAAATTTATTTGTTTATTTACTTATTACGAAAATTTACTAAAGTCTTTATATGTAATATATGTTGAACTATTTTCAAAGCAATGAAAATCTAGCTCTTGTTAGATTTGGTAGCCTTTCTTTTCTATGTTATTGTTCTGCAAAAGGAGAATTTGAAGAAGAGAGGATTAGAGCTCACAAATATTCAATATAAGTGTGTGATTGCCGATTAGAAACCACATGTTCTAATCAATATATACTTTAACCATAATAGGGGATTGGAAGTTAATAAAACTTTAGATGTCTAGTATACAAACTCATGACGTTATATGAAGCCCTCAAGCCCATTCCATGTTTAAAAACTCGGGCTTGGGTTTGGTCTCTCTATGGGTCCAAACCATAACACGACCAGTCTGACACTCGAGCCACTATGAAAAGATTAGGAAAATTGGACGATTCTCATTTCTTAAGCCTAGAACCGCCTCACTCCCAATCCGATTATACTAGTGAACCCTCAGTCAAACCCCGTGATTTTTTATTTAATGAGCCTAACCACTCAAAAAAGAAGCCAAACCCTAATCAAAACATATTATAAAGATTCTTACCTGATGCCATGTCCAGGCCCACAAGTCACTTGCTCAACATGCAAGTCGTGTGTTCCTGGTGAAATTGAAATACAATCATCTCCAGTTTGTATGCTTGCATCTCTTATGAGGACATCACTTGATCCATCAACGTGAATACCATCAGTATTAGGACTATTACCAGGGGCTCTAATCTTTATGCCATGAAGATTGATCCCCTTAGAGTTATCAAGAGCAATGTGAAACTTTTTGCTGCTCATTGATGTGAGGTTGTTCATTCTTACATTTTTGCAATTTTTGATAACTAGAGACTGCATTCCAAACAAAGAATTTACTTAGAAAATAACAAAAACAAGAATGACTTTTACTTAGAAAAGAATAGACTCTGTAAGTGAGAGATTTACTTTTAAAAGAGTAGCAAGCTTAAAGGGAAAAATGCCCAACTTTTGAGTTGTTTTAGGTGATGTACTTAGAAGTTTGTTCGATTTATCATTTTGTGGACCAATTATGAGAAATGCGGCAGTAGACACTATAATTACCCTAATCCACCCAGATTAGAACCCTAAGTACTCCTGAGGGACTTGCCCAAAAATCAGGGGAGTCCCCTAGATAATTTTCGACTCACTTAGAAAATTTTCAAGAAAATTAGCTCAAAAAAATCAACCCATCAATCCCAAAGGATAATTGGAGGAGAAACGATGTCCGAGGAGAAATGGTGTGACATCTGTGATCTAATATCAATAAAAAGAAAATTCATAAAAGCAGATATTTTGAAATTACTGAAAAAAGTTTGAACTGTTCTATTCCTAAATCCTAATATATATAGAAAATGGAAACCCTTGAACACAAATAATAATGAAAAGGTAATTATTTAAGTAAGATTGAATTTCGAATCCATAGTTTTAAATAAATGCATTGTTCATATCACAATAAACAAAGGACCTGGTTTCTAGTTTCTATGTTGCTAAGCCCCATATGTAGAAATGGGAGGCCTATTAATAAATCTATTTTTGAGATGGATTTTTTGACTTAATTTTTTAGGACATGTAGTCTTTAACATGGAGATCATGAATATGAAAAAATAGGTAAATTTTAAAAACTAGAAATAATAATTCTACTAAAAAAATATTTGGACCGTTAGTTTCCATTGTTTTTAGATGGAACACCTACTTGCATCGATCTTTAAGATGAATGCTTTATATAGATGGAAAACCTACTTGCATCCATCTTTTTGAATCCATCTTTAAACCTACTTGCATCCATTTTTGTAGATCCATCTTTAACTTTTTTTGGACCGCCAGCCCGCATAAAATAATTTTCCATAAAAAATGACTACAACTACCCATAACAAAAGGCATTGAAACAATTTTCCATAAAAAAAATGACTAAAACTACCCATAACAAAACGCATCCATAAAAAAATGACTAAAACTACTCAAAACAAAAAAAAACGTGAGAAAAAAATGACCGAAACAAAATGATTAAAACTACCCATAACAAAACAACCAAAGTAAATATTGATCAAAATACCTTTCAATACTTACTCTTGCACCCACAGGGCAATCTCCATCATCTTCTTTGCAATGCCAATAGGGGGCTCCCTTCCCATCTAGTACTCCACCATTGATCTCTAACCCGTCAATATTCTCAAACCTAAGCCATGATCCATCATCTACTTTGTTAATATCAGTAGAAGCAATCAAATTTCCTTCCAAATTTATGGTTATTTTTGGACTTTTGCATGGTCCACCAAAGATGGTCGGATAGAGCAGATAGTTTCCGACTGGAACATAAAGGGTAGTCGAGTCGTCGGAGTTGCAAGCCGATTTCCATGCCTTTGTAAAGGCACCGCTGTCATCAGATTTTCCATCAGCCTTCGTTCCAAACTGTGTAACATTGATGTCGGCACTACCGAGAGTGAAGAGGAGGGAGATAATGATAAGCAAGATGTACTTCATCTCCATTAATGGAGAGGGAAGAGGGAAGATCAAAACAGTGGAGATGGAGAGGGAAGAGGAAGATCAAAACAAGCTTTAATGGGATGAAGGGTTTTAGAGGAGGAATAGAAAACTACGTACAAAATGTGAGGTTGGGATGAAGAAGATGAAGAGTTTTAGAGGAGGAATAGAAAACTACGAAGAAATTTGAGGTTTTGAAGACGCATATCTATCCATAGAATATGATATGAGGTTGGGATGAAGAAGAAAGAGTTTTAGAGGAGGAATAGAAAACTACGTAGAAATTTGGGGTTTTAAAGATGCATTTCTATCCAATAGAATATGATATGAGGTTTGGATGAAGGAGATAAAGGGGCATAGAGGAATAGAAAACTACGTAGAAATATGAGGTTGTTGAGAGGGAAGGGATGGATATATGTCATATACATTTTAATATTTAAAAGAGATGTGGATGCAG